TATTTAATGCAGAAAAGAATGGATTAAACCACTACATCCAGGTTGATTTTCGGCTTTATTTTTGTAAATTGGGGCACCAAACCGCAAAACATGGCCCCTTTTTCATTTGTGATTATCAAAAGTCAGTGTTCCCATTTACAAATCAGTTACTGTTGTTACAACCCTTCGTCGTTCATGGAAACAGTCTTCGGGTTTAACAGTTTTTGTTGATGTCATGTCTGTGAGAAAAGACAACATTGACACATGCGTTTTTCGTCTATTTCAGATTTACCAAAGGTTATTGCGTTTTCACCGGTTGCTAGTGTGAAAGACGAGAGCGGACGTTATTGCACAACCGATAACGTTCCCTACGGAGAAGCATGCACAAAGTTACGGGACGCTGGTGCCGATGTGGTTGGTCTTAACTGTGGACGAGGACCAGCGACCATGATTCCTATACTAGAGCAAATAAGAGAAATATATCAGGTAAATACCAAAACGTGTTCTAATTTATATGGCGCCCTCTAGAGACAAGGCGCTGTCTTCGTGCCAACATGGCTTTGTATACTCGGAGTGCAAGTCATCTTCGCCAGTCAAGATTTACTGCATGTCGCACGCCCTCAAACGATTATAAGATTCACTTCGGCTAATTTGCATCACCCAATCAGAACTCACGAAAGAAACTACACATTACTTGGTAAAATTAAAATGGCAGAATCAAATACTAGTAAACGTGTTGATAGCTTTTTCACTGAACGATCTTACTGATCATCAAAAGAAAGCGCTTATTGCTGTATCCGAGGAAAATGACGTGTTTTTTTAAAAACAGTCTCTCGACTGTTGCAACGAAGACCGAATAGGGCAAGTCGATATTGTTATCAGTATCGACATTTTTGTCAGTTTACTAAAACACAGTTTGCACAAATATTTAGACATTCCATCGTCCTCATTCACTTTATATTACAATTTTACACGTTGGAATATGAAATCTTGGAAACGAATATGTAGACTTTCTGTTCTTGACTCCGGGTGAATCCGAGTCAGCGTAAAGCCTACACGCCGCTCCGGGACGCCGCCATTGTTTTAATCTATGATGAGCTCCCCGATCTTCACATTTATGAACTCTGATTGGTGGTGCCAGCGTGGGCCGGTTATAAATAGCCAGCTTTAGCGAAACTGTGCGATTCGGACGATGAATGCAAGTGTGATTTACACTCTTTTACGTCACAGACACAGTTCATCACAAGAGGGCACAATTTATAGCAATGGATAGTGTTGATTGTACGCCCTCTGCAGCGTCTCTTTTGTTTATGTTTACGACCGATAAAGCCAGCCACTCCTAGTAGAGTGACTGTGGCCAGACAGATACACAATATCACGTACAGTGTAAACTGTTATTGACGTTCATTCAATGACTCTTTGGAAACATGATTTGAGTACAATCTAACGTACGATACTGGCGATGTATGGCGCATATGTCCTGCGCTTTTGAGGAACAGCTCGTATACAATCTAACACGAATTTATTATTGCTAAGAGTTTTTTGTAACACATACCATGGACGTACGTCCGTGCACATACTAATGGGTAGACGCTTGTTTGTAAACAATGACACGCTATGTCCATCTGACGCATGCGCAGATGACGACACCCGCTTTAATGGTTCGTTGTATGGCGCGCATATGTCCCGCGCTCTCGAGGAACAGCTCGTATTCAATCTAACACGAATTTATTATTGCTAAGAGTTTTTTGTAACACATACGTAGTACTGCGGTAGTTATGAATATTATTTTAGGACCAACATGAATACGGGAACCATACACCACTCACCTTTGAAGTAACCCAATTACGTATTGTATTGCAATTATTTTATCATCACAGGGTCCAATGTGTGCTTTGCCATTGCCGTACAGAACAACAGAGAAAGAACCATCGTTCATGCAATTGTCAGACCCTCAGAACGGTAAGCATTATACATGTAATACAACATACAGTTTGCACAATCACTGTGTTGAATTTTGTTCATCGTCGCTTTAGAATAACAATGGCCTATCGGTGTGACTTTATATTTTTATGCGGGAGCGAGATGTTTGTTTGGTAACGCACTTGGTAACAGCGGCATCTCAAATAAAATCAATGAAGAGACGCACGGTGAACGAACGTTAAAAATTGTGATTGATGTAATGTGTGGAAACAAAACGTGGCTGACTTCCGCTCAATAAAGATAACTCCAGCTCAAAGTTGTAATTTGAATATTATCGCGCATGCGCATATATACTTTAGGTGAGACTTTGCAAAATAGTATTAGCCAGTACCACCTTAATAATACCCTGAACAAACAAACAAACAATTTATTCAATTCTGAATCTTATAATCAGTGGTCAACCCCGCAAACAGCTCACCCACCAAGCGCCACAGCATGTTATACACGTGTGAGCAATGTAATATGTTCAAGGATATGTAACAGTATTAAAAGTCACATAAAATCTGAATTGATTTGTCTTTCTGTCTGTATTCAGTCTTCAAATACATCCAATCTATAACAGTATGCATTGGAAATACTTAATTAGAATAGTCAAAGATATATGTACTTTGCATTATGTTTGTTATAAATTGTTAACGTATATGGTCGAATGGAAGAGGATATTGAAGTGACTAAGCCATTCATCATTGTTTAGTGTAAGCAGTTAACTACAAAATGGTGCTCTGCTTCATTTCACATTTTGTTTTGTTTTTCTCTATTTTGAACACTGTATTAATTTTTCGAATGTTTTAAAGAGCGTTAGTCGTCGCGCCAAGCTTGCGCTAATATATTGGTCTCATATAAACAAAGATGGCGACTTTGACTGTTGCGCAGATCAACGAGTACACACTGAGATGTTTCCAAGCTTGAATTAGGTAATTTTACGGGTGATTGAAAGGTATCGAAGGAGGCGCCGGTGGTAATCAGTGCAAGTCGCGCCCAGGTCAAACGTCATACTTGCATTTCCATTTGAAGAGCGCATTGGATTGTGGGAAAAACAATGTTTATCAATATAAATGTCGCACATGCGCAGCGCGACGACGAAATTAGTTTAGTAAGTTATCGGGTTTGTTTGTAGCTAAATGACTTACATTGTTAATGTTCAAGTGTATTAACATGCTGGATGTTATCATCAAACGAAACATTATATACACAATTTATGTATAACACCTCGATAAAGTCTTTTCGACTTTGTGAGATTCTTTCGTTTTTTTGGAGAAAAAGACGCTGAAAAAAAAAACTGATTTTGACAAGATAATTAAGAAATTTATATTAAGAATATCTCATAGCGCAATATATTCTCTATGCACCCATAATAATTTTCATAATTACCGATTACATAATATTACAGAAAAATGAAAAATCTCTATATTCTCTATATTTTTGCCTTTTATATGTTTCGAATTATGATTGAAAAAAGCTGAATGAAAATTACAAACTATGTGGTGTGTTCAACAACTCATGTATGAACAATAAGTTTAATAGATATGATTCAGTTGGTAAAGATACTGTATTTTTCTGCATAAAAACAAAAGAATTTCATAATGTCGAAAACGGAATAAGACTGGGTCATTCGACATTCCGATAATTTTACGTGAAGCATTTGTTTTTCCATATTCCAGGTGAGCGATTATTTCCCCTCGATTTAGAAGTAGCATCATGTTCACGAAAGGACATCGCTCAGTTCGGTGAGAAGTGCAAAGAGCTGAACATCAAGTACGTTGGTTTGTGCTGCGGTAACCTGGCTTGTCAAACTCGTACGCTGGCAGAAACATTTGGACGCACAGTTCCTGCAAGCCGTTATAGAGCTGATATGTCGTTGCACTGTATCTTCGGTACTGATGATAAGGTGGATAAAGACCACAGGGAGCAAGTACACTCTGTAATAGTAAACGATAAATAGATAAACTTATGCAATTAGAATGTATATTTAATTCTCACGCCTATAAATCCACTCACTTGTGTTCATATCATCTGTATTTCTAGAAACCATAATAATATTTTACGGCAAAGTGCAAATATTAAACTGTTTAAAATGATTTCTTTGAATAAAACACACAAAAACATGATTTGTTTTCATGATTTAATTTGAACTGTATGTATGTGTGTTTACTTCGCGCCATCACCGATATATATTTTACTTCCAGACACGTTGTGTACCGTGTACTGTATTGTATGTAAAACAAACTGTTTATAAGTTTCTGAATGTAAACAACTGGGCTGGCACATCTTAGATGACTATTATAAAATCGTCGATATGGGACTACCGGAAAAAAAAACGGCCTCCCAGAGTTGATCAACCTGTTTGGAATTAATTCATAATAAATCACAGTAGTATAATATTTACAAATTAAATATAAAATTTGTCTAAAGTACCATTGTCTTTATGATATATTTACTTTTCCTTTATGATATATTTACTTTTACTTTATGATATATTTACTTTTA